ACCATATTGCTAGGGGTGTGTAGTATGACAAAAACTATCAATAACAATAATGTTTTTGTGTTGGTTCTGTTATGGTCAGCTGACTCCCGCTGGGGCAGAAATGAACTTTTTTCACAATCATACAACATATCATTTCGAGTGAAAAAACGAGGAGAAAATCCTAAAAAAGTCAAGGGTACAAGCCTGTGTACATATTTTTATTTCCGAGCAAACGAACTACTCCTCCCATAAACCACCGCGCCTCACTAAAGTTGACTGAAGCCACCGTAAAATAGCCTTTTGAGTGACTTCCAAATCTGACGACGGCCACATGAACTTTTTCCTCCAGTGAATTTTATATAGTGAATGTGCAGGGAAACTCATTTTCCCTTAATTTACTGAAGCAAACACATTTGCAGCTCCACATGCTAAAACATTGAGCATTTGGCTCGCTCATAGGCTGTGCTGCGGCAACACACCCAATCAGCGCTGATAATGTGGTGGGCTCTCACTAATAAATGTATGGGAAACACTGTACCGGTTATCACTCAGATAAACATAGGCTATTTTAAAGGATTAGTTCACTTTTGAAAAAACTTTTGCTGATAATTTACTCACCCCCATGTCATCCAAGATGTCCATGTCTTTCTTTCCTCAGTCGAAAAAGAAATTAAGGTTTTTGATGAAAACATTCCAGGATTTTTCTCCATATAATGGACTTCAATGGGAACCGGATGGTTCAAGGTCCAAAAGACAGTTATAACTGTTTCAGATGCAGCTTCAAATGTCTTTAAACGACACCAGACGATGAATAAGGGTCTTATCATGCGAAACGATCGGTTATTTCAAAACTTATTCCAAAAATGTAACTTTTCTAAGGACAAATGCTAGCCTTGCTATATTCTGTGAGGCGCGTTTGCAACGTCACGTATTACGTAATTACGTTCAAAAGGTCACGGGCGACGTAGCCGAAAGTACAGAGTCAGTGTTTACAAGTTGAACGCATAGGTTGAACGTGCAAACTAGCTCAAACACCGTTTACAAAAAAAGGAATTAAAAGGAAAAACAACGATGTCGGACGATTTTGATTCTGTACTTCCGGCTACGTCGCCCGTGACCTTTTGAACGTAATTACGTATTACGTGACGTTACAAACGCGCCTCAGAGAATATAGCAAGGCTAGCATTTGTCCTTAGAAAAGTTACATTTTTGGAATAAGTTTTGAAATAACCGATCGTTTCGCATGATAAGACCCTTATTCATCGTCTGGTGTCGTTTAAAGACATTTGAAGCTGCATCTGAAACTGTTATTAACACTATCTTTTGGACCTTGAACCATCCGGTTCCCATTGAAGTCCATTATATGGAGAAAAATCCTGGAATGTTTTCATCAAAAACCTAAATTTTTTTTCGACTGAGGAAAGAAAGACATGGACATCTTGGATGACATGGGGGTGAGTAAATTATCAGCAAAAGTTTTTTTCAAAAGTGGACTAATCCTTTAATACCGTCGTCTCCCTCATAGGAAACCTTGACATTTTTATTTTTAAAAATTGCGTTTGCTCCCTAGGTCAGGTTGCACCCCACAGCTCAACAACCTGCTCATCACCTTAACTTTCACTGCATTTGTAGTCAATGCCATATTATCCAGTAAACACTAATAAACGAACAGAACGGAAGTTAACTTTGGGCCAGCTCATCACCATGGCAACGCGTCTGATGGAAGCGTCTATACAATCACTTAGTATAGCCATAGCTGGTTTTAAGTCTACCATGTATGGTTACGTTTTTATGGCTTATATCTCAAATCTAAATGGAGAAATTGTATTGAATTTTTACTTCCGGCACCGGCTGTGGGCGGGACTGTGATGCTCTATTAGAATAATAAAACACTATAGGCTGTAACCAGTCAAATAATATCAGTATCCAATTTCCATTTGTACACTGCAGAATTGGCACAGAAACTGCATCTAAATAAGCATTCATTTAAACATAATAATGCTATGAGACTGTTTTGAAAGTAATGTTGTGAATATTGAAATATGAAATTACTTTAGAAAGTTTAATAGCAAAACAAACCCGCAAGGTTTTGAGTTATTTATTCCAGCAGTTTGTTCAAACAGCTGGTTCATTAAGGAAAGAAGCAAGTGACTGTCTTTAAAAAATGGATACTATATATATATATATATATATATATATATATATAAAGTTGGAATAATTGGATTGGTGTGCTAATACTTTGATTTTTTTACAACACTTGATATGATTGAATTGGAGTCTTTCAGCTCGGCATTCTTGATTAGGGATTGTTTTCTAACTCTTCTTTGTAAAAACATTCCAGATCTGTTAAATTGTGAGGGCATCTTCAGGTCCCCCCTCAGATTTATAACATTCAGGTCTAAACTCTGACTAAGCCATTCCAAAACATTTATCTTTCTTTGCTGAAGCCATTCTTTTGTTGATTTAGTTGTGTGTTTTGGCTCATTGTCATGCTGAAAGTTGAAAGTTCTCTTCATTTTTTTAACTTTTTAGCAGACACCAGAAGAAAAACCGACTGGAACTCGTAGCTATTCATGATTCACTTGTTTCCTGGAAAATTAGCTTGCTGCATGGTTGAAGAGGTTGTGAGGCTAGCTGGGGGCGCTCACCCTGTGGTCTGTGTGGGTCCTCCTAACACTCCAATATGGGGACACTTATACTGAACCGAGGTCCTTGACTCTCTGTGGTCATATAAAAAAATCCCAGGATGTCCTTCGAAAAAAAAGTAGGGGTGTAACCCTGGCATCCTGGCCAAATTTTCCCAGTGGCCTCTGTCCATCATGGCCTCCTAATCATCCCCATACATACTAATTGGCTTCACTACTCTGTCTCCTCTCCACCAGTAAGAGATTGTTTGAAAAGATCCCCCCTTCAAAACACGCTATATAAATGTAACAAATTATTAATAATTCTTATGAAAGTGACATCAGCACAGGTACACTCTCAGGACTTTCTACAGAGATAGGCTACTTGCCTGTGTCGGCCCATATCTGTGGTGATTTATGTTGCAGTAGCACTCTGGTAGACTACCTGGAGCTGGTATAACATGCTCTCACACTTTAGTTTTTTACCGTTTTGGGTGGAGTAAAATTAAAGTCCAATTCACACTGCAGTGCACAGACAAATGCAAATGCCAGCATACACGTTTGTTGGCTTTTGTCGGATCAGTGTGTCGGCATTGGTCTGGATTTGTTTTCATCCGACTTAACATGTTCAATCAGCGTTTGGCAGTGTCTGCTGGGGCAGTGTGAATATGGCGGTTATTTTTCATAAAATTCTAAATTCAACTGCCAACCTGTTTGTTGGTGTCTGTTGCTGTTTGTCTGTGCGCTGTGAATTGGCTTTTACATATATGGCTTCAACTACCAGATGCATTTGCACTGGTCCAGTTGCAGTTCCATTGATTTATACCTGTTCTTTTAACAATCGGAAACTGTCCGATCAAAGAAAATGCATGAAGTGACAAGGTGTAAATAACCCCGCAACCAAGATGATGTCAGAAAAATCTTACTAGAACAGCTGAGATTTATTTGGAGTGACTTCAAGCGAAGACAGGCAGGGCCGCATTAAGAACACATACAGTAGGACCCTAGGGCTATAGCACACCCGAGGGCCCATTTCATACTAGCGTACGTTTTCTACCGCAGAGTCTATTTTAAAAAGTCATATTTTTATCACAGAGATACAAAATATTGTATCTATTTAAAATATAAAATATTCCAGGCTAACACACATTAAAAGCATAAATGCGAACTATGACTATATACACCAAATATGAGGTCAAAGCAAACAGGTTTCCTGAAAAAGTTTTTTGCGAGTTTACATGAAATAGTTTTAACATTAGAAGGTCTTTTTTCTATACCTAGAAGAAGAAAATCATTGGGGCTGGACTGGTAAATTCGGCCCACATGTGTCACCATTAATGTTTTGAGTTTGCTCAAGACAAAGGAGTCAGATATATAAGCTTTGACTGCTGGATGTGGTTTAATCAGGTAGTGCCGTTTCATCGCTTGGCTTTTGGTCTTTGTTTACCAGGTGCTCCACTAAATAACAATGTTTAATATGCGGGGCCGTGGTGGGGTATTGGCGATCGACCCACCGGGAAAAGTGCATCCGATGGCCAGTCAGTCTACTGGCCCAATCACGGGCCCTCTCCTTGCTCGTGCCCTGGGGCTTCAGCTCCACCTAGCTCTTATGTTAATGCAGCCCTGGTGACAGTTGTGAACTATTTCACATGAACTTGATGATTGGTTCATTCTGAACAGGCATATACTCAATTATAACAAGGTTTATTTTTAACTTTTTGAAATGTGTCACTGGTTTTCAACGGCATTCATTTTTAACATTACAAAAACCAGCTGTTTTAACAGGGGTGTGTAGATTTTTTTTTTCAAATCTATGACTGTAACCATAGAGACAGTGACTAAAGTAATACCAAAGATGGTGATGTAAATAAAACTGTAAAGTCTTATCTACTAAGTCTGGCAGAAAGATATAAAAATGAAATGATGGACTAGTTTGAAGTATTACTTTAAATGGATGGCATAATATTATTTGAGAAATGATTCCTTTAGAATTTCTAACATGTGTTTCTCACTTGTAAAATGAAGATTTACATCCGGTCTGGACCCAATATCTTGACTGTATTGATGTTTCTTTAAGTAATAATTTGAGGTTTGGTATATTATAATGCTTCTGTTTCCTTTTTGCACTGTAATTTCTGTGCTTTCATTGTTTGGTTGTTTCTTTGGTCTTTGCTCAGATTGTTAATGATTGAAATGTTGATTTAAAAAGATCCAATAAAAAAATAACATTACAATAGGAATTAGTCATAATGATTGATATCCATATTCCTTAAACACTCTTTAAAACACAAAGAAACGTTTGATTCGCCATCACAACATTTCCATCACAATATCTATCATTGAACTGTAGCCTACACTACCATGTCATGTCACATTCTGTTATGTGTCCCCCTGCAGGTTCGGAGGGGTCCGCGCACAGTTCAGAGTGAAACAAAGTATATAGAGTTGCTTGTGGTCAATGATTTTGAACTGGTAAGATTTAATAGTTATTCTTTTCTGTGTTTCTCTTTGCATGTGGTGTGCAATATTTGTCTTCATGTTTCTCTCTGTAGTTTGTACAGATGCGAAGATCAGCCTCTCAGACGAGAAACTTTGCTAAAGCTGTCGTGAACATGGCTGATGCTGTACGTCTTGAAGTTTGACAGACATATTCACGATTTTTTCTCATGATTTTTTCCTTGAGTAAGTTCTGTAGCAATTTTTATACTTAAAACATCCTATTCAATTCCAGATTTACAAGGAGCAGCTGAACACTAGAATAGTGCTTGTCGCCATGGAGACATGGTCAACTCAGAACATGGTTTCTGTTGGCGACGACCCTTTGGTGACACTGCGTGACTTTATGAAATACAGGAAGGAGAATATCAAAGAGAAGAGTGATGCAGCTCACCTGCTCTCGTATGTTACGCTTCCTTCTTAGACGACACATTTTTTACGCGCTCGGTCATTGCATTCGACACATCCAATATATATTGAATGTAATTATCCATTCAATATAATTAATGCCCCATGAAATCAACTTTGTTTGTATTTTTCTTAGCCTATATGTTAGTGTACTCCAAATGTATTTAAAACCTTTCTCTTCCTAAGAAATGGACTAAAAATATGTAATTGTTTCCTGTTTAGAGGCATATCCTGAGAATGAGAATATCCTTCCCCCTAAAAACTTTTGGTTTCAATCAGAAATTTGTCAACAGAGGAAAGAAAATTGACTTTGTCAAATCATTTCATTGGGCCTTTTGGCAACACATTTGCATCACACCAGTGGCATTGCAATTTAAGATTGCATATGACTTTCATGATAACCAACTCTGTAAGAAGTTCAAAACCTTTGTAAGGTAAATATTCTGTGAATTATCTGACCCGTAGGGGGCGCACGTTTCAGAGCAGTCGCAGTGGCACTGCATACATCGAGGGGATCTGCTCATCAACACGAGGTGGAGGAGTCAATGAGGTGAGAGCTCAGAGCTACTTCTTTATTTTGATCGTCCACTTTAGAGTAACTATAAGTAACTTTTCAACTACATGTCAGCTACCAGCCATTAGAGTATTAGTAGACTGTCTGCTTAAAGGTAGGGTAGGTGTTTTTTATAAACACTTTTCATTATACTGGTTGAAACTCTCTTCACATCCAATTAGAAATCAATAATAGAAGTGGTCTAATAGACACTGTTTCTTGTGGCATTTGCTTACTCTGCGCTGGCTGTGTGTGTTCATGTGTTTTGGAGGAGGCGTGGCTTTGGAGAGTGCTTAAGGCCCTGTTTACACGAGAACGCTCGCGGGTGAAAACGTAAAAATATTTTATCGGATGTGCCTTTCTTTTATTCGGCAACTGCGTTTTTGAGGCTCAAAAACGCAAAAAAGTGAAACCACCCTCCAGAGTGGAAATCTTAAAAACGGTCCACCGCCGCGTTCCTGTGTAAACGGTAAAAACGCAAAAGTCTGCTTGACGGTGAAAGTTGCACGCAGGCGTGTGGACTTGGTGTTGTTGTAGTATGCACTCCTAGCCGCCTGAAGTGCATACTACATTGAATTTCACACACTTTTGCGTCTCCATTTGCACACGGATTTCCCACACAAAACGCTCATCTAAACGCAGAATAAAAAGATGACGCAACGCCACTTTTGCGTTTTCTCTTCAGAATCGTTTTCTGTGTAAACATAGCCTTAAAGGAGTGAGGGATCTTATATTTTCAAAACTAGCTTGCTATTGCTAGCCTCCATGAAATTGCCTACCCTACCTTTAATATCGGTTGACACTTTATTTTGATGGTCCCCCAACACATTCTACTGACTATAGGTAACTTTGCAAGTACATGCCAGCTTATTCTACTAACCTGAACCCTAAGCAAACAGTCTACTAATATTTTGTTGAGAGTTAGTTGACATGTAGTTGCAAAGTTAGTTATAGTTATAATCAAAGTAGAGTGCAATGTCTTGGTTACTGACGTAACCTCCGTTCCCTGATAGAGGGAACAAGACATTGTGTTGATGTAGTGACACTCACTTGAGAGCCACAAATACGTCTGGACACTTCAAAAAAGGCTAATGAGAATTGGCGAGTGGAATTTGCATGCCAATCCCCCAGACATACTAGTATAAAATGAGATGGCATGCATCCACTCATTCAAATTTGTGCTGAGGAGTTGAAACAGTGTCCTGGCCATTTTAGTGAGTAGTTCAGTGTTGTGGAAGGAGGCAAACAAGTCCTGAGCTTTGACTGATCAACCCTAAATCAGCTGGACCACACAGGGATGGATTCTCTGCTCTTTTTGAAGCTTATCCATTCAAGCATTATTGAGTTCATCTGTTTTCTCTTTCAATAACTTCAGATAGTTCTGTGCTTGCTTCTTCCCAGTTGACCCAGTTGTTCCCATGGCCACACTCTCGCAATGAGAGAATTCACAAAAGCTGCTCCAGCATGGGCATGGCCCAAACTGCAGTAGCAATCGTGGCCGTCTAATGGAGACAGGCCTTGACCTTATCCAGAAATACACGGGTGAAAAAGCAATAAAAGAAACTTATGAAGAAACTCTCTTGTTAGAGAATTTTCTCTTTTGGAATTTTTTTCTACTTGCTCATTGAAGTGCCCATGGGAACTCTCTGAGTTCTTATCTGTGTGGATAATAGAAATAACTGTTGAAATGTGCAGTAGGAAACCAGTGAAGCTTCTTAGGCAGAGGTGAATGGAGTGGCAAATTCCACTTGCCATTTCTTGGCATTTTCTGAAATATCAGAGGTTTTTGGGGCTCCCAAGTGCGACACATCGCTGAAGTGATTGACAGATAGGGAACTCTACTATTACACATTACTTGGTGATACTGAAAAAAGAAAGAGAAAAAAAGTTTCTTTATAATCTTAATCAAATAACAGATTTGATTAAGTTAATCAAATAACTTAATCAAATAATTTATAATATATTATATAAATTCATATATATAAATATTAAACGTACTGTAAGTTCCTTTGTATTAAAGCATCTGCTAAATGAGTGCTAACATACCATCTAACATCTCTGTGTTAATGTCAGTATGGGAATGTGGGACCCATGGCTATCACATTATGTCAGAGTTTAGGACAGAACCTTGGAATGATGTGGAACAAAGACCGTGCTACTGCAGGTAACCATCCTTCCACTCTTGACAAAATATAAAAAGGGCGGGCTGTTGTTTTAATGTGTGTGTGTGTGTGTGGTAGGAGACTGCAGATGTCCAGATCCGTGGTTAGGCTGCATCATGGAGGATACTGGGTGAGTCAAGTTTTTGGGTCTTTGTGTAAGTATATTTTTATTGCAACATTCATGCTGGAAACATACACTATGCAAGTGCACATGCTCAGTCACAAATGTTTGGCAAATGGATTGCAAGCATGAGGCCCTATTGTATATGGCCGGAGTAAGCAAAATTCAGAATTGAGGATTTTTTTATTGACCATGACCACAGGATACGTAACTTGAAGAGGAATTCATTAATTGCAATTCAAAGAAATTCAACACAGGTAAACCATTCTATGAGAGTTTTCCCACCATGGTCCACTAAAGCTAAATAATTAATGAAATTATATTTGTATAATTATTGATTTTGGCCAAAAGCCTACCTTGGAACTTCAAATTATTCTGAAAACAATTCTTTATCAAGTTACTGTTAATTAGTTACAGTTACAGTTTGTGAATTTCTTTGAATTTCAGTTCATTCTACTTCCTTACATTTGAAATTTGAATAGAATCATGTATTCAATCTTAATTTAAATTCACTTCAAATTTAGAAATTTAATTGAAATTTTAAAAGCATTCTCAATTATTTCTGAATTGCATACAACCTTTCTTCTTGCTTTACTGTAATCTCAGTACTCAAATTAGTGATAGACATCAGTTGTCTTTACTTTTACTAAGATAACTTGCTCTGTAAGATTCTTTTTAAACTTGCTTCACCATGGAGAGTATTTTTCAGTCTTTTCAAGTCAGCTAAATAGTTTAGCTTTACCAGCACAACTGGTAGATCATGGCACTAGCGATACTAGTGATAGATTCGATTCCCATGATCACTCACAATGTATACCTTGAAAGGCCAATTCACACACTGCACCGACAGACACCGACCAATGGTGACAGTCACCAGATTACAGTGACACATTTTCAAGACCTGACAAATGTAGATTCAGCATGTTTCTGCAAAATTAGGAGCCAACCAATGCCGAAAGATGTGACTCACTGACGAATGTGGTTCATTTTAGTGCAGTGTGAATTGGCCTAAAGTTGCATTGGATAAAAGTGTCAACTTTTTGCTGTTCCTTCTCTAATAGTTTTAGACACTGTTTCTATGTAAGGGTAACTGAACAGTATTAACTCTATTATGTGATCCTGACAGATACTATCTACCCAGAAAGTTTTCACGGTGCAGTATAGAGGAGTACATTCAGTTCCTCCAGCAAGGAGGAGGGAGCTGCCTCTTCAATAAACCTAACAAGGTTTGTCTGGAACATCCACTTAAAAAAAAAAAAAAGAAGTTGCCAGACTCCGCATTTTTGATCATTTTCACAAAAGTTTCATGGCCCCCAGAATATTTTGTGGTATTAATATCTGAATTGGCAATTTGTCAAAAGAAAGAACAGCCGATCTGATTTTAAACAACAACAACAACGAAATTATTGTAGCTTCATGCATTCCTTTTTTATCAACACTTGCATGTGGGTAAGTTTAATAAAAATTCAACATTTTGAGCAAAAAGCTGAGAAAATCACGTTTTTGTCAAAGACTACATCTAAGAACGATGATCAAAACATACAGTAGATGCAGTAGATCAAGTCCATCAAAGCTTGCAAAGTCCTGTAGTTCCTCTTGGGTTGACATTTCATTCTGTAACATTTGGCAGTTTTTACTTATATGCTGTTTACTTTGACGTTATTTTACATATGCATCTGCTTACGTATGATATCGCTTGTTTCTGCACAGTTGAGAACACAAGCCTTTCAATGTATACTCCTTTGACCGTGAGCGTGTAGAGACTTATTCTAGTGGGCCGTCCTTTTAAAGTGCTCAAACCTCTTGCACATGCTCTGTTGTCTGCTCACAAGTCTGTGCGAATAAAAAAATCTGGCTGCATGCGGACGCGTAGACAGACATCAGCGAACTGTTGGTGTTGATGACGAAATTACATCACGTGGACTGTCTGCAAGCCAGAGCAGAACACGGACAAGGGATGTATACTTCAGGCTTTAGAGCTTAGCAATCCCATACATATACTTGGTACATGGTTTCCACTGCTGTAGGCTCACAAGGTGTGGACCTCTATCAGGGGCTGCTTTTCCCAGAAGCATCCAATGCTTCTGGGAAACGCAGCCATGGGCATGTAGTAGTAACTTTCTGGCTGTTAGTTGGACATGGTAAGCCATGCCTGAGATCCATTCTACAACTTCTCAAGGCTCCTTTACTGGAAATTCTCTCTGAACACTACACCAATGCCATGTTTCCAAGGACAAAATCGTTCACTTTAGTGAAAATCGTTCCGCTTGCTGGCATAAGCCATGGACCACTCTGAACTGCTTTCAGAGTTGGATGAAGTACTCATCCTTTTCTTCCTGTGGTACATCTCGGTGTAACGCTAACCCAAACACCAAATCTTAAGAGTCTGAATGTCTTGTCCAAACATGAGGGATGTTGGGGTGTATTTGCTGGATTCCTGTACTGTCAAACAAAAAAAACCCGATATGCCCTCAGGACCAGGGAGGATAGTGGGCTCAGTCATGCTGATGTTGTTCAACTGAGATGCCAAGCTAGTGGGTTAGGGTACAGTTGAAATGCTTTACCAGTACATCACTTTGGGGGTTCAGGGGTGTAGTGTAGATCTCCTTGTCCTCAAGCTCTTGACAGACCTTTTTTATGAACACCTGTGCTTCAAAGTTCCTCCTCTGGACACTGAGCTCCTCGTGTATGATATCCACCCCAGTATATACAGTATATGCCCCAGTGGTGACCCACTGCACTTGGTCCCTTTTGAGTGGAGGTCACAGCAGTAGACAAATTGTTCTGTATCCTGACGGCACCTTAGTCAGTAAATATCTCCAGAGGGGTGCCACAGAGTCTTGGACACGTCTGCTCTCACAAAGTCTTGAACCTTGTGATGGCCAGTGCAAATTATGCAAAAAACAAATTGGCCACTTGGCCAAATTGGCCGCATTGCATTCTCAGAAAAGGAACCTCGCCTCCAAAAACACAAACATAACAATACATATATGAAGCTACTTTTACTGTGTAGCTTATTGTGGAATTAGCTCCTTGCTCTAAGGCCTTGTCCACACAGACACGGGTATTTTTATAACCGTGACTTTTACGCAGTAACAGGACACTGAATCCGAACATTTTTGAAAACTCTGAAAACTCAGAAACGGCGGTTACAGTGTTGTCGTGTAGACAGTAAGACCGGGGTTTTTGCCTTGCGATGTCAGAGTGTGCGCCCACGCTGCGCCGTTATGCGCCTACCGGAACCTGTTATAACTTTTTGTTAGGCTTCTGATTGGCCAACATGGCTTTACGGTTAGGGTTATATTGCCGCCTGCTGGTGTGGCATGCTCTTGACATCGCTTGATAGTGTGTTTTTGCGTTTTCGGGTGGACGGGATTTTTTTTTTTAAAAGCAGGAGGAAAAACTCTGGTTATAAAAATGCCCTTGTCCATGTGGTCAAGGCCTAAAGCAGTGGTTTCAAACTCAGTTCCTGAAGGGCCACAGCCATGCAGAGTTTAGCTCCAACCAGCTCCAACTCACACCTGCTTGGAAGTGTCTAGTAACAGAGAATGTCTAATTGAAGAGAATTGGCACTGGCTGGTTAGTGGTTACATCCGGTTTCTGGACTGGCTGCAGTAACGCGTCTCTGTCCATGCGGGGGCGCTCGCAGTCGAGTGCAGAATGAATGGGAGTCAATGGGGTTTCACCCCTAGAAATCCACTTTTCTCAGGATGTAATTTTTTGTCAAGTAATTTCAGAGTTGCATTCAAAAGGGAGGGCTAAGATAATACACTCAGCTGAAAATTGCATTTTTAAGTTCACTTATCTGTTCTAAAAATCCGTTCAAAACTGTGATGACGTCACACAATAGCAGAATGCTAGCGTGTTCCGGCCAAACCTGTAAGAAATCAAAAGGACATACGTACTCATTCATTCGACTTTTGGCCTATAATCTATATTGAACTTGCGGAATCAACAATAAAATCTATTTTGATTGAACGACAAGCAGGTGAAAGAGACACATTTAGCCGTTTAGCCCCATAGACTCCCATTCATTCTGCACTCGCACGCGATCACCTCCAGTGGAATTCTAATGGAACTGCAACCAAGGTGATACACAACGGGGCTAATAGGAAGTGCCAAGGCTCTCCGTTAGACGGGCTCTGCTAGTAATCCTAAAGACCTTGATTAGCTTGGTCAGGTGTGTTTGATTAGGGTTGGAGCAAAACTTTGGAGAGCTGTGGCCTCCAGGAACTGAATTTGAGACCAATGCTCTAAGGGGGCTTTCACACTGGCAGTTTAGTTTGGAACGGGGCATGGTTCGCATGAAAAACCGCTAATGTGAACGCTGTCATGGGACCCGGGTGCGCACTGGGGTACCGAACCCGAGACTACCTGTAGGAGGTGGTCTGAATTCGGTTGCTTCCGAACCGTGCCACGGTTCGCGTTAATGTGAAAGCAACACAAATTCGGGTGCACACTTGTTCAGGAAGTTAAGTTTCCTGCGCATACGTTTTAGCTTATTGTGATGTATTCAGTTCAGTTAAATAAAACACTTGCAAGGGATGATAGTTTTGATGATTTACCTCGGATACAAGCGAGAGTGAGCCTGCAGTGTATTCGTGCATTGCGCGTGGAATCAGAGCAACACATTTGGAAATCCACTGTCCGTTTGCAAGCAGCAGAAGGCCACCTTATGTGACACATGCAGAGTAAAGGCCATTGCACACTGAGTCCGAAATTCGCATCCGAAATTTTCGCACGTTAAAAAAAAAATCGACCTCACGTTATGTCAATCACGCTTGCACACCACCTCCGAAACTTTCGTCCGTCATAAAAAAATTCGGATCAGGTTCGATTTTCTGCGTTTTTCGCATCCACAGTGAGCATTTTGAGAGGTTTTTTGATCATTCAGGGCCGGGGGGAGCTCGTTCCGCACATCATTGCACATATGCATAGTGCTTTCAGTTTCAGTTTTCAATTCCATCAAGTATGTTCTCTTCTCTCGATTGGATTATGAAAGGAATAAACCTCCCCTTTCAATCAGATTGAAATTTCGGATCGAATAAGGTGTAATTGAGCAGCCAATTCGATAATGTATTATTTGGGCACAATATAACAGCCTATAGAGCTGTTCTGTCTGCCCAGCGCTTCCACCGGGCCACGCGCGTCCTGTCCATTCCTTAGACACACTGCCAGTCTCTGTTCAGGATCGATTGGTTCACGGAAATTGGTGGTCTTGTTTTTAAAATTTGGCTCCAGAATCGCAAGCAGAGCATCAAACTTTTGAATCGCTCTGGATAAATGAAAAATTGAAAAATTTTGAATCGCTCTGGATAAATTCGAAACTCCTTGATAAGGAGGTGCTTCCTCTCGGCGCAATTTCAGGATTGGATGGACGTAATATTTTCTCTTCTCTTTTCAATAAGAGAGAGGACAACAAAATCATCCTCACTGCTTGACGAATCCATTTTGTATTTTTGCGTTTTTCCCCGCAAAGGTTTAATAAATACGCGTCGGACTCAGTGTGCAAGGTTTCTGTGCGTGACGAATTTTTAGGCTGACGAAAACACGAAAAAACGCATACGAAAATTTCGTACTCAATGTGCAATGGCCTTAAACCTGTATTGTTCACTCAACTGCTCAGCAACAAATTAATAAAAAAACAATATTTACCCACTTTCTGCTTTCTATCATGTGCCGCGCACATTTGCGATGACGTAAGATGCACCAGGGTTCGATAGAATCAATTTGAGTGTGAAACCAGACCAACGCTGCAGGGGGGCGCCGGGAATAAACGCGCTCAGGCTTTGGACCGCAGCAAACGAGCCCAGTGTAAAAGCCCCCTAAATTATAGATTTTATGTTAATTGATAGAGAGCTTGATGCATTTTTGAGTGGCATGCTTAACACTGCATATCTATTACAAATGTCTGTCAGTGATGATATTTTCTGTCGCGACAGTTGTTGGATCCTCCTGAATGTGGCAATGGTTTTGTGGAACAGGGAGAAGAATGCGACTGTGGCTCTCAAGTGGTGGGTGACAAGATAACACTAATTTCCTTTGAGAATCCAACAGAAACAGAAATAATTCTCTGAGTATTAATGAATTAAATCCTTGAAGTGATACCTGCCTTGAAGTGTGTTAGTACAAGAGAACAGGAAGGTCATGGTTGCAATGCTTTTTTTAAACTAACAGGTTGTTTTTTATTGGTTGTGCACTCTTGTAGGATTGCTCTCGTGCTGGGGGTGCATGCTGTAAAAAATGCACTTTGACCCATGATGCAATGTGTAGCAATGGACTCTGTTGTAGCCGTTGTAAGGTAAGTTGTGTTAGAATTGTTTACCCAAAACTTTTCTGCCATCATTTACTTCAGTTCTTTCCTAGGATACTGGGATAGGCTCCAGCCCTAGGACCCTTCAGAGGTCATATAAGGAAGTGAGAGTTGGGCTTTTCAAACTCCAAAAACAAGGAAAAAGTACCTAATGGTTGTTTTTGTTATGATTTAGATCTTGGTCCTTAGTCATTAGGCATCATAAAAGTTGTCCTTAATCAGGAGCAGATCTACCAGGGTGGCAATTGCCACCCAAAGAAAAAGCAAAGCCACCCCGGAATTATCCCAGTGTAAAATAAAAAACGTAAACAGTGTTTTCCGTACTATTTTTCAGCAGCGGGGCTTCAATTCAAGCATATCGCAAAATAATGGCAAATAAAACACGTCTTTCTAGAAATTGTCCTAGCGGGAATGCACAGTTTAGTCAGCTTTATTAACAAATTACTCTTATGAACCAGTTCTTTGTGAGTCAAAAACCTAATTTTTCTATTTGTTCATGAATTTGTCAGACATTTACTGTGAAAAGAATGCTTGCTGGTTCATTTTCTAACTAATTACTGTGAATCCACAGCAGAATGATGCTAACATCACAGTAATTTGCTGCTCTTACTGTGAACTCACACAATAATTTCAAGCCAACTATTCTTAGCATGAATATGAAGATTTTATTTTAGCACGAAGGATTTACCAATATCTTATTTTAAATTCATAACTGTTTGTACGTGGATCTTTTACAAAAGGGAAGCAACTGCTGAGATGCATCTTTAAAAGATGTTATATCATCTTGCAACATAAAAAAAAAAAAACACCAGCAAACATCTTCAGTTTGACAACACATGTGCTGCAAATACTCACAACACAATCACATTAGGAAATGCCCAGCAAATAGCAAGAAAATGTTTCAAGGGGACCTCAGTAAGGACGAAACTGGCTGGCACATGCTTTTTGTTCAATGTCTGCTCGTCAATGGTGTTGTCAATGACCTGAAAGGTGAGGTTTTTTTGTTTTTGTTTATTTTAACATCCTGATATTGTGCATATGTGCGTTGTTAGTTTTTGTAGCGCGTCTCTGTATTTGGTTGCATTGTGAGTATTTGCAGCACATTGTTTCCTATGATGTTTTCATAATTTGCTGGGTTTTTTTGTATTTGCTTGTTTTCTTCAGTTGCAGCGCATTGAGCTCTCTCGGCCACCGTAATAATATATTCATGCTGCATTATATGCACCTTTATAGTAGCCTACATATGTATTGTAGAAAGGCAGTATGATATTATTTGTTTTTAGAAATGTTTATCCTAATCGTTACTCACAGTAAAACAATGCTTTTTTACAGTACAATTCTAAAAACTCGACTCTTACATTTCTTTTAAAATCTACAGTATTTTAATTAAAAAAAAATGTCAAGTCACCATATAGCGCTTTTTACAATACAGATTGTTTCAAATCAGCTTTACAGTGATTATAGGACAATAATAAAAGTTTGTTTCTGTTTTACAGCAGATCTAGAAAGTAGTGTCATAATACAGCTTAAGTGATGGCTCATTTCTGTTTTTATTTAAGTTATTAATTTAGTTAATTTGTATAGATAGTCGCTCTGGAGAAAACAGTGACATCATCGTCCAGCTCAGTTCAGTTCTCATATAATGGTGTCAATGCAGGCAGATCAATATTATTGTTGAATGCAAGACAAAAGCCAAAGGTGAGGTGGGCTACTATAACAGTACTACTGTGAAATAACTGTGAAATTAATGCGGTTATTAATATGGAATATACTGTAATTTCACACTTAAATGTTTAAAAGTTTAATGGGTAACACTTTACTTGAAGGGGTGTGCATATACTGGCCTGATACCTTCATAACCATGACATGACATATGTCTTGAATATGAAGTAGGGTTTATGCATGTTTATGACAACTGTCATTAAGTGTCTTTCGGTAATTTATGACACTTTTAATGCAAATATGACATTGTTTGAGATGTCTTTGTTATAACATCTTGACAAACCAATACATCATAACCGGTCAGTGTCTTTGTCATGACAACCTGACATTAAATTAAGTTAAACTGTCATGTGGTTGGTTTTGACATTGGCTGTCATGAGGCCATTATAACTGTGTCATGAATATTTTTTGTGACCTCAACTACAGTGGTTGATACACTAATTGAATTTGTCATTAAAAAGTTATAATGCTTCATGACAGCCAATGTCAAAACCAACCAACTGACAGTTTAATGTAATGTTAACCAATAAAGCTAGGTGGTTTCTTAAGTTTGATAATTCATCTGCTATGTCATGTTTATGGCAGGTTGTGTTGTCTTAGTAATGTCAAGTTGTCATCACTGACAGGTTATGATGTATTGGTTTGTCAAGTTGTCATAACAAAGACTTTTGTACTGATCACAATGGAGCTCCACTGCTGTAAATCGGTTCAAGAAACTACTTACATTTATTTTACATTACATTGGGAAACCTTTTTTTTTGCCACTGTATCAGTTGATCTGGTTTACAAAACAGCCTGAAAGATTCATTCACTTATCATTTGTAAAATTTTGTTCAGAATTCATCTAAGTGTGTTCAACAGAAGAAAGAAAGTCTTACAGGTTTGAAACAGCATGAGCGTGTCTTTTTATTTTCAAAGGGACAAATCCCAAGTCAGAACAGTCAAAACACTTTTTTTTTTTTTTTTTTTTTGCGTTTTTAATTGTGTATATTTTTGTTGTGTGTTTAACTCACTGAAAGATTGTGTGTTTCAGTATGAGCAGAGAGGAGTGGTCTGCAGGGATGCAGTGAATGACTGTGATGTGCCAGAAACGTGCACCGGCGATGCGAGTAAAGTAATGATACATTTATATCAAATCATCATTACCATCATAATAGTCCTAATAAAGTAAGAGATTTACTTGTGCTTCTCATTCATTTCTCAAACAGTGTCCACATAATGTCCACAAACTGGATGGTTACATGTGCGATGCAGGACTGGTAAAATATATTCTTCTCTTTCTAACATGAACATTTCTTACTTCAATAGTACAGTACTAACCATTGTATTTTGTTTGCATGAATTGAGGCATAACACTGGCAGACTTTTAAAACTATTACTGTACACGAACTATGGTTTAAATTGAATGAAAATGTTTCAATGACTAAAAATGACTACATTTTTTTGTTTTTTTGATTGTGCTGTCTGATTTTGGCCTTATAGTTACACTTAGTTGTGTGTAGATACACAAGTGTTCAGTTCCCGATGTCAATAATTGTAGATATGTGGTGTTTACGCTATACATTTTTTTAATATTCATTTATCCCACAAGCAAAACTGCAATAACAAAGTTGTTTCTGACTGGTTGTGTGATCTCAGCATGTCTGCACAAATATTAGGCTCCTGATATAACTGCAATAAGTGTATACTTTTAAAGGTATTTTATTATTATTATTATTATTTTATTAATTATTTGTTATGTAAGGTATTTTTACGTATTCATTTCATTCACCTTAATTCTTTTATGTGACTGTAGTCACAGAGGACATCAGCCAAGTGTCTTTTTTGTCAGGATTAGAGTGTGTGTGTGTGTGTGTGTGTGTACTGTATGCATACTGTATAAGCTGATGTACTCTCTTCTGGCTCTCTCAGGGCCGCTGCTATGGGGGCCGCTGTAAGACCAGAGATGCCCAGTGTCAGGCGCTCTGGGGCCACAGTGAGTAATATTGTACAGTATTGTGTTTAAAAAAACTCAAAATAAATAATGAATATTAATTACAGATGTAGATATTATGGTTGGTTTTGGTTTTTGTAGTTAAAAACAAAAACATAGTTTCAATTTCAACTGTATATTGTATCCAAAAAAAACTATAAAGACTACTGTATAAACCTTTCCTAGAAGCTTGTGTGTGGCACATGACATGTTTACAATATATTTTATATAAATAATTTAGTTTCTTCTTATTTTTGTTATTAGTAATGTACATTATGGTGTTTTGAATTACAGTTTCTGTTATTTGGTTAATGTTTATCGCATTATTTTCATCTCATGTATGTTACTAATGGTATATTTGAAGAGTTCAGATGCAAAAGCCTCTAAATGCCATTTGAAATTTTCTTCTTTAATGATGATTTTTATCAAACTTGTATATTTAGGTTCAGTAATTTCACTTAAATAACAATTAATAGGTAATTATCATTGCCATTTAAGTGAAATTACTGAACTTAAATGAACTTCATTTGTTTGCATGACACTGTGCAGCGATTAGGCCATGTTTTATGGACAGGCCATTCTTATCTGTATTATAATGGTAGTTTTTTAGTAAATTTTAAGGTAAAAAGATACTATTGTGGCTTTGTTATTTGTCAAATATACACTATGCCATCCCGTAATTCTGGATAAAACCAAAGTTTTTACCGTAAAAACTTCACATTTACCGTATTTTTTAAATGAATACTAATATTTAATAAATAAATAAAAAACACCAAATTGTAACAATTATAGAAAGATTGATCAACCTCATATAAATCCATAAAAAAAGTCATTTAGAGAAAAATGGGACAATTTTCTTCCAAACTACAGAAATATTCTATATTTTAACCACGCATCAAAGTTATTAGTGAATACAAACAGTCTCATAAAAGGAATAAGGAATCAGTGCCTATGTGAATCATGTATACATCACTTGTTGAATTCTAATACTGAAAATTGCACAATGCTCAGTTATTTGACCGTGTGTGCCATTAGATGCAGCAGATCGCATGTGTTATGAGAAGCTGAACATTGAGGGTACGGAGCGTGGAAACTGCGGTCAGGACAGCAGCTCGCGGAACTGGATTCAGTGCAATAAGCAGTGAGTAACAACCAGAACACAGCTTGATAACTTTTTCAGTGGCATCGTTTCTCTCTTTGCTGGAACAATCCTTTGCTTTCCTCTTTATCTGTCGTTCACTGACGTGTTTTCTTTTACAGGGATGTGTTGTGCGGATATTTATTGTGCACTAATATCACGGTGAAACCACGGTATGGAGACTCGCATGGAGAAATCACAAGTCTCACCATCTACCATCAGAATAAGTACCTGGATTGTCGGTAAATGCATATTATTTTTTTCTTCGTTATAATTTATTTCTTTTAAGCATGCTCCACAATAAGCAATTTTCAGTAGCACCTCAATGCAGTAGATGAGATCCACGGGGAGGAGTCGGATCAAGATCCAAGGGGTGGAGATGGGTAGGAATAGGGTTGGGTTTAGGGATTAGGGGGCGGAGTTGGGAAGGTTTAGGTGTATGCAAGGTGGGAGGAGTTGGATCTGGATCTGACTCCTCCCTGTGGATTTCATGTTCTGCAGTTAGAACCATCTTGAAATTTTTACTGGAAAACAGAATACTGGTTAAGGTGAATTTAGGACTACCCGAATATACTTGTTTCAGGTCAGATGGAGGTCTTCTCGCTTGTCTATGAAGTCTCTCTGCTTTTTCAGAATCTTTCACATTTTTAAGGCACAATCAAACAAAAAAAGTGAACCTAAATAAATAAATAAACTAGTTTAAATAACCCAATCCCATGTAAAAATGTGATAAAATTATGAATTCTTATGATGTGATTTGTATGAAAACTTCAGATTATTTTTTTTTTTTAAAAGTTCCTAAAATTAACCATTAGTGAGGCATAAGCAAATTGTAAAAATAAATGGTAACACTTTACAATAAGGTCTGTTAGTTAACATTAGTTAACTACATTAGTTAATATGAACTGCACGTATACAGCATTTATTGATCTTTGTTAATGTTAATTTCAACATTTACTAATATTTTATTTAAATCTTGTTAACATTAGTTAATGCACCGTGAACTAACATGAACAAACAATGAACAGCTGTATTTTTATTAACTAACGTTAACAAAGATGAACAAATACAGTAACAAATGTATTGCTCATGGTTAGTTCATGTTAGTTAATACATTAACTAATGCTAACTAATGAACCTTATTGTAAAGTGTTACCATAAATGAGATTTCCAGAAAGCAATACATTTATTATCCAATAAAGAGATAGATGCATAAACTAAGATGAAAACACATTTACCAAATAAATCCCTTGATGCGCAACAAAAAATTCACGTGACTTTGCCTTAACAGTGGATGCGATTGCATATCTGGACTAACCGACAAATTTTATTGCACAGCATCTCAATTATTTGATGATTCTGAAATGCCTGAGCCAAAGTCTGTCATCAGAATGATTTTTGGACCCAAAAAAATCACGTTTGCAGTGTGTGTAAAACTGAGCTGTTGTTTGTGTGTGTTCAGTGGGGGTCATGCAGTGCTAGAGGACGGCACCGATCTCGGGTACGTAGAGGACGGCACGCCGTGTGGTCCTAATATGATGTGCCTGGACCATCGTTGTCTGCCAGTAACCACCTTCAACCTGTCATCCTGCCCCGGTTCGACCTTCTCTCAAGTGTGCTCTGATCACGGGGTGAGCTGCTCATCTTTGACAAATCTGACAAACTCACATGCTCATAGTACAGGTCAGCGCTGTTTTATTAAATGAGATGCAGTGACACGGATAAAATATGCCAAGTTACATTTGCCATAGGCTGGGATTGTTTACTCATCCTCATGTCATCCCAAATCCACAAAGAGCAAGTTTTTGCAAGTTTGTGATGATATAAAATGATACGGGTAATACTCAGGATTTTAGAAATAACTATATTCACGCAGGGACAAGGTAATTAAGCTATTTAGAGAACGGTTGGTTTTGTTGTAAGTGGAAAAATAGCCGATTGTCAAAAAGTCTAATGTGAGTTTAACATTTTTCATATTTAGTTAGTAGTCATTTAAGTGACAATGTTGTCCCTGTAAACCATGTGACATAAAATAACAAAATTGTCATTCATTCTTAATTCTCATTGCAACTTTGACTGCTATTCCAGTTAGTTTTGTTATACTGTATTGATGTGAGCCAAGGTGTTTTCCCTCACGTTTTGGCTTATCTAGATATTTTCTGCCTCTCGTTTCCAGACGTGCAGTAATGAGGTGAAGTGTATCTGTGACTCCGACTACACTGGGAAGGACTGCAGTGTGTATGACCCCATTCCAGACCCCCAGCCTCTAGACGGTCCTGAGAAATACAAAGGTTCACAACACCACACATTCAGTGTTAGGAATGTAATTATAAAAGAGGTGTCAGGAAGACCCAAACTTGTGACCTCTGAGAAGGACTGTACTTAGTGTTGAAATCCTCAATCTCCCCAGGTTGTCCGGTTAGAACAAATAATGAGGACGAATTTACACTCTCATGCCACTCTTTAATGAGACAGAATCTTGTTCATGTTCATGTTCATGTTCATGTTCATGGTTTCTAAACAAACAGAAACAAATGGACTCATTAATAATAATTATTCATTCACAATTGTAAACTCAATACAATGAATATAATACTGGAATAAACATTGTCTCAAAGTGCAAAATAATATACAAATGGCACATATAATACTGTCTTGAATAGCTGTAAACCACCAACAACAATTGCGCTATAACATTTGGCCGATGAGGGGTTAAATCGCGCCGCATCCGAAAACATTCAGAGCGCGCATGCTGGTGTCACGTGATCAAAGTTAAAACCTACGATGCACACAGCCAAACACGGTGAAATCGCTCTAAATCGCTCTAAATCACAATCAAAACAAGTGAAACTATCATAAAGTCTAGATTTGGTTTGGTATTATAGCTTCAGGAACACATACATAAAGTAAAGTGAAAGGAATAGTACACATACTACATTAATCTAAGTAATGAAACAGATGACAATATTTACATAAACTCACATTCTCATGGACGCATGAAGCAGAACTGAAGAATATGATATTTCCCTCAAGATTTACAGGATCGGAGATGGAGCGAGTGTCTCCGATGAACGTTACATGTACAATGATAACAGTCAGCGGTTGCGCTAATGGAGACTGTCTGATTGGTGGAGAAACGAAAGGGAATTGCTGATTGGTCTAACTGTTGCTGGGCACGTATAAAGTTAAAGTGACACTACAGTAAACTAAATAATAACTTATAATAACACAAACACAAATTAAATTCAGAACCTTATTAACAGCCGCCCCCAACTTTAGGCAGTAAAGTTGAACATGAATCAGTCAGGAATGTCTCGAGGAAGTGCAGGCAGCTTGATAAGCTTGGCGACAGGTCTAGTGTAGGATTTGTCTTTGATCTGGATCTGAGCAATACGAATCCTGCCATCAGCTCCAGGGAAAACATCTGTGACTTTGCCAACAAGCCACAAGGCACGCGGAAGTTGCTGGTCGACAACAAGAACAATGTCATCAATATGGATGTCCTCTTGGTCTTGTTGCCATTTGGAGCGGGTCTGGAGAGATGGTAGGTAGTTCCTGATAAAATGGATCCAGAACTGATCCGCTAAGACCTGGCAGTGTCGCCATCTGCGGCGACTGAGGAGCTCTGCACCTGAGTAAACAACCTGCGGAGTAGATGGGTCTAGCCGCCCCATCAGCAACACATTTGGAGTGATTGGATCCGGGTCTGCCACATCAGAAGAGGTGTATCCAAGCGGTTTGGAGTTGATAATACTCTCCACTTCTGTAAGGATGGTTCTGAGGACCTCCTCCGTGACTGTTTGTGATCCCAGTATGGTATGCAGCGCTGACTTGATGGTGCGGATTTCTCGCTCCCAGGAACCCCCAAAATGAGGGGCACTAGGTGGGTTGAAGCGGAAATGGATTTGCTGGCTAGCTAGTTGTGACTGCAGAGCGGGGCAAGGGAGTTGAAGGTCTCTTGAAGTTCTGAGCTGCCACCTTTAAAGTTTGTACCCTGATCGGACAGCAATTCGTAAGGCTTTCCCCGTCTAGAGATGAAGCGGCGTAGACTCATGAGGAACGAGTCAGTGTCCATGCTGACCAGCAGATCTAAGTACACTGCATGTGTGGTGAGGCATTTGAATATTATGCCCCATCGTTTTTCATTGCGTCTCCCTATTTTAATGATGAAAGGACCAAAACAGTCCATACCAGTTGAGTAAAAGGCTGGATGGTGTAACCTTAGACTGGAAGGCGGGAGGTCGGCCATTTTGGGGATTATGGGTTGGCTGCGCCACTTGCGGCACTCTGGACAGTGGTGTTGATGCTTGCGGATGGCCTCTCTGCCTCGCAAAATCCAAAACCTTCTGCGTAGCTCACCGAAGACTCTCTCAGGGCCAGGATGTGCAAGTTTGTTGTCGTATTCAGCAATGATCAACTTTGTGATGGAATGATGTGGGTCTAGAACAAAGGGATGCAAAGTGTCTGAACTGAGGGATTCACAGTGTCTTAGTCGGCCCCCAACCCGGATTAACTGAGTCTCTGGGTCGTATTCTGGGGCCAAAGTGATAAGCCTACTACTGGATGGAATGGGCTTTTGGGAGGAGATGAGAGCAAACTCCTCTGGGAAACAGTCACTTTGCACTTGTCTGAAGAGAGAGAGTTCAGCTTGTTTGAAAGACTCAGCAGTTGGTTTAGAGTCTGCGGCCGCCCCGTGACATGATCGAACTGTAGCTTCCAGTAGATCTTGGAAGCTGTTAAAATGGCTAGCATCAGGTAAAGGTGGATGAAGGGGAGTAGAGATGATACCACAGAACTTGGCTTTGCGTAGCTCTGCTGAATCATCAGGGCATGCAATGTCTGGACCGGAAGACCAGGTTGACTCACTTTCATGAAGGAAGGCAGGTCCAGATCTCCAGCGGCTGTGACTCTGGATCTGTGAGAGGGTCAGACCGCGAGTTATATCGTCAGCAGGATTCTCGCTGGAGTGGACATAGCGCCATGAACGACCCTCAGATAATTCCTGAATATCTGCCACTCTAGCACCAACAAACACCTTGTAGCGGCAGGAAGGAGACAACAACCAAGCCAATACGGTGGTGGAGTCGGTCCAGTAGGTGATAGAGGAGATTGAGATTGTGAGCTCCCGTTTCAGGACTGCACCAAGCTGGGCTCCGAGGTGGGCAGCGCAGAGTTCCAGCCTCGGGATGGATTGCTGGCGGACTGGAGCAACCCGGGAACGGGCCGCTAAGAACGCTACCTGGACGTTATCATTGGCACTGACAGTGCGCAGGTAAGCGACCGATCCATAAGCCCTCTCTGAAGCATCTGAGAAAACATGGATGCTCTGGGATGCCTCTAGGAGGTCAGTGTCTAAGTGGACATAACAACGATTAACAGTAATGTTAGGAAGTAATGGGAGTTCACTCACCCACTCCCGCCACAGCTGGAGCAGATCCTCGGGAAGATGAGGATCATCCCAGTCCCGTTTCTTTCCCCAGAGGCTCTGCACAAGGATTTTGGCCCGAGTGGTGTAGGGAATGAGCAGCCCAAGAGGGTCATATTGTTGAGCTAGGACTCGGTAAATATTACGCATCGTGGGCTCAGATTGCTTTGTGTGGCGAATGCGATAGGTGAGAGTATCTGTTCTGCAGTGCCAGTGCAGCCCAAGGGTCCGTTCTGGGGGATCTGCACCCTCCATTGATAGCCACAGATCTCTGTTCTCGGATTTGAGTTCAGGTGACAGATGACTGATGATGTCTGGAACGTTGGTGGCCCATTGACGCAGCTCAAAGCCACCTGATTGGAGCAGAGTCTGAAGTTTGCAGACGAGTTGCTTTGCTTCTGAGATGGATGGGAAACTTTGAAGAAGATTATCTACATAAAAACAGTTCTCCACTGAAAGCCGGGTATCTTCATCAAGACTGCTGTGCTCAATGACGTGCTTTTGGAGGGCAAAGGTCGCGCAGCAGGGACTGCAGGTGGTGCCGAAAGGGAGTACCTGCCACTGGTAGATGTCAGGTTTGTTGCTACGGTTCATATCCCTCCAGAGGAAACGGAGGAAGGGCTGATCTTCAGGCAGGAGGCGAACCTGATGGAACATGCCCTTAATGTCGCTGCTCACCGCAGTGGGATATTGCCTGAAACGGAGCAGGACACCGAGGAGACTGGAACCTAGGGATGGCCCTGGAAGTAGATGTTCATTCAGGCTGGTGTTTTGGAAGGTGAATGAGCAGTTGAAGACGATGCGGTCTTTGTCATTGTGATGGACCATGTGGTGTGGGATATACCACGATGGTCTACTCTGATCTTCAGGTGATGTGACCTTCTTGATGTAACCTGAATCCACCAGTTTATTGATCTCTTGGCTGTATGATGCAGCTTTGACTGGGTCTTTGGCGAGACGACTCTCTGTGCCTCGTAGGTGACTCAGGACAGCTTCCTTTGGGGCACTGAGAGGAGGAAGACCTTCCTTCCAGAGCAGTGGGGTGGCATATCTCTGCACGTTGTCAACGTTAACTCTGACTGTCTTCTCCTCCAACAGCTTGATGGCCGCCTTATCCTCTTTTGACCTGGTGATGAGCTTTTCATTCCTATAGGGAAGAATGTCCATCTCCCATAATCTGGACACGTGACTGAGAAGATCTGTAGAGGAAGTAGAAGTGCTAATAAGGAGGCACTGGGGGGTGAAGGTCTGGTGCATCAGAACTTTGGCAGGACCTTGCAGAGTCCAGCCGAGACGAGTTTTCAATGCTGCGGGGCCCCCAGGTGGACCTAGGTGTACTGGCTCAACTGGAGAGAGAAGATGGGGGTAGTCTGAACCAATGAGGAGAAGTGGCTGCGCTTCGCTGATTGAATGTAGTGGGAGGCCTCTCAAATGTCGATACGTTTTCCGTAGGGCCTCGACAGGGTGAGAATGCTTGGAAAGACCAAGCCCTGCCGCAGTGAAGGCTTCGTGGATGTGAAATCGTTTCTGAGGGTGAGCAGATGAGGATATGGAGAATGACACTGACTTTCCTGAAACAGTCTTCACCTCTTGACGGATAGTTCTGAGTGCCAAATCCTCACTTTTTCCCTCGAGATGTAGCTTTTGAGCAGCATTGTGAAGCAAGATGGTGCGTTCAGAGCCATCATCGAGGATTGCGTAAGTTTCTAGTCTGTGTTTGCCATTGTAGAGAAGAACTTTGACCATCTTCAGTAATACACAGCTACTCCTGAGGTCTGGATCGAGGTAGTAGGTAGCTGGTTGCCCAGTCGCTGAGGTCGGATGGGCTGATTTGTTTGCGGAAGTGTTGACCTCATGCAATATCTC